GATGTTGAATATGGATTTATTTACCTCTCACATTCAATATTTTGTGACTCTTCCTTTGGCCACAATAAGCTTGAGGTGAGGCTTTCTGTAGGATTTCAATAGGGTCAGAAATGTACCATGACGGAAACTAACGCACTACAGAATGCAAAACCAAACCCTCGAGATCACACAACCTGCACTTGTGTTAAATGTTCTACTAGAGACACTGATAACCATCAAAAATGTATTTCTATGCTTCCTTAGTCATTTCCTCATTGAGCATGGCACAGGCTTTTTACGTTCTCCTATTGTACAGAACATTGGTGACTAATGTCATTACGTATGTTTTTGGTTGAAATACCCTGGTAGAATTCAACCTGTCTGTCTCTCAGCTCTAACAAGGACACCAGGACCAGAGGATCCAAACCAACCCTAAAGCAGACTTTTTCACAGAAGGGATGATGAGACTAGCAAGACTGTCCAAAATTCTGTCTCATTTATCCACTTTGTTTGGTCCAATTTGAGCCAATCAGTTGATGTTTGGAAAATTCTTCTCTTTTCTTCTTAGGCTTCCTTGATACTGCGGCAAACAGGAGGACTTAAAGGGTAGCATTCAAGATATTGTATCCTAATGATGCCAGAGATTTTTTTCAAGATTTCCAATTGCTACCCCTGGGTGTGAGTTAACTTCCCCAATCAATTTGCTGACCTCACAGTTGGGCAAAACTTTCTTACATCAGCACCACAGTGGGGTTTCAACAACCCTATTAACCTTGAACTTCTTAATGACAAACGTCACTGACATGTCTTACAGAATTTTTTAAAACCAACTCAAATTGTTGTAATCATTTACTTTTGATCTTTGGACAGATCTCTGAGTTCCCCTTTCATGACAAAGTACAGTGTTTCACCTATTTCTCTACTTGATGTCCTCTGACATCAAGGAACAATAAAGATGACTTCCAGAAGCTTCTATTAAGTTTCTGAGGCCTTGTAAAACTACCAGATGACAAAAAAATTATTAGAGAATTAAATTTTTAGCATTTATTTTCAACAGATTTAGATTACATGAATATCATATAGTCAATAGTCAATAGTTTGTCAATAGTCAATAAAAACACCAATGTTTTTATTGACTAAGCATCAACAAAATCCTGTTTTTTATTGCTGTCTCATCTAGCACATATATTTTATGAAACTTTTGTTTATAATACCCTGTATTTTTTGCAAATAATCATCAAATATTTATTATGAACATTCTACTTTTCAAATTTGAGGCTTTTCTGCTTCAACCTGTTCTGAGACAAATTAGTCCCTGTAATATGTTACTAAAAATACATGGAGCGCTGAAGTCTCTCTTATGTTAACTTAACTTCCCAGGCTTTCATGTGCTGTATACATAAATTACATATAGGCCTAAAACTTACATTTCAATATTTTGTGTACAATATAAAGAAGACTAAGTTTTAGAATAAAGGTGATGAAAATTCTGGTCTGTTGGTTTTCCAGGATGGGTAGCTCTCTCTGCTCAGAGACATACTGTAAGGATTTATTCATTTTTTAATCAGTCTAACCCTTCTTCAGAATTTCATTAAAGACTCGAAATTAGCATGATTTAAGTTAAAGGCCCAGCGCAGATGATGAAATTATATACTTGGCCTGAAAGGAGAGAAATGCACACTGGAGGAAAGTGAAAAGCAATCAGGCAGTGCTCGTTTCTGCTGCCCTACAGAACACAGAGACTTATGGAAGTGAAGCAAATAACTGAACCAGGCCAATACACTTATTAAATTTCTCACTGTGTATAGGCATGGTAATTTTACTTTCTCAGGAATGTTACACTGGAATTACTTTGCTTTTATTGATCTTGCCTACAGGTTTATGTTGATTTCTGTACTAGAGTAGATTATGATAATTGTTTACTATAGTAAAAGTTCCTAAGGATAGTATTGCATATTCCATTTGTTATGGTAAGTCACAACATTTGCATAGAAAACTCATGTAAATCAGAAATTACAGGAAAGGAAAATGAATTTGGGCTCATTTGTAAGTCATTTAAAAGAAACCCATGCAAAATATGCCACAACACCAGGCACATTTACCATATTGAAAAACTATACCAGTTTGTGGGTAGCACTGCTCCAGTATGACCAGGGAATGTCTGAAGGCTCCTTCCAAACCTTCCTTCTGTTTTCCTTAAGAGTAGCCAGGCCAACAAATGCGCCAGTGTCTGTGTGTACATGCCCCCCTGCTCTACACAGACTAGCATCAAGCCTTAATTAAAAGTCCCTGCCAAGCTGTTCACTGGCTGGACATCATTAAAGATCCCAAGGGCACAGGGCTCCCAGACAGCAGGTGATAAACAAGGTTAAGAGAAAGGACCCGGAGACCTTACTTACAACACCACCACAACTGGTCCACCACAGGGTATACAAAGTCCCATTTTTTCGTAAATGGGCTCACAGTACATGAGCTGCTCAGCTGGTTTTACAATAAGATTTCTGTGCACTGCCATGAGATCTTTAGAGATTAATGCAGTGTAACTTGCACACTCTGTTAGAGCAGCTGCTTCAAGATAAGATAACTTTATTGTCCATATACAATTTCTTGTATTAGGAATTTGTCTTTTCACATACCTCAACTTGCTCTCCACGAGACATACAGACAGGGAGAGAAGGTTGGGGTCAGAGCGCAGGGTCAGCCATTTATATGGTGCCCCTGGCGCAGTTGGGGTTAAGGGCCTTGCTCAGGGGTCCAACGGTGTAGGATTCCTCTGCCAGCCGTGGGATATGAACTGGCAACCTTCCAGCCACAGGCACAGATCCGTAGCCACAGAGCCACCGCACTGCCCAAGTCAAGTCAACTAAATTGAAAAAAAGCCCTTAAACAAAGCCTTAAATTATAAACCTCCTTCACCATGCTTTACTAACTGGAATATTACTACAATTATTGTTGTTACAAATATATAATTATTACTAAAACTACCATCATTATAATAACAACTATTATTACTCAGTTCCTCATACACTGGAATACCATTTGTGAATTTCTGGATTTAAAACAGCTTGTGTTTTGAAGGGCATCAATGATAATTAGTTGCTACCATTACAACATAAGGCAACATGCTGATTACAAACCTACAGGGGGGAGAGCGTGGGTGTGAGGAAAAAGCCAGGGCTGCAAATACGACAAGGGGGATACCCTGGCCTGTCTTTACAGGACAGAGCCGTACATGTCTCTCTCTTTCACAGTGCTTGGGCTGAAGTTACTGGACGCTGCTTGAACAGCTCTGTCTCACCATGTCTGCTCCCATAGACACCATAAATTCTGACACACAGAACAGAATGAAAGGTGAATTCAAATCTAGTACTGGGTCCTTAAATCAGTAGATAAACAGAAGCTTTGATCACAGCACTATTAGCAAAAGGAGGCTGTTGTTTTCTGGAAGAGGTTGAACAAGGCACTGGGGCGAGAAGAGTTAGCAACACAGATGAACAACACAGGAAAACTGGAGTGAGCTCAGTGCTTTCTTCCCCCCAGGAGTGGCAGAAGAGAGAAGGGACAGAGTAGGACAGGGCACTGAAAGAGGCCCAGACTAAATACCTGTGCTTGAATTCCTGGCAGTGCCCTCCAATTCCTCCACTCAAAGCTCTCCATTCAATCACCAGCTTCACTCAAACGCTTAACATAAAACATGTTTCCCTTGGCTTCAGAATAATGTGATAGGTGCATCAATGAATGGAGTGTGTCTTTTACATTAACTCCTTGAGTTAAAAACAAATGTCTAAATTAACAAAAAGGCCAGCTAATCTGTTCCTTGAGAGTGTAATCTGGAAAGAAAAGCAAAAGACTGCTGTCCCAGAGGATTCAGAAGCCCTGTTACAGTCTCTAACTTGGCCTGGGCGTCACTGAGCAAGTCACAACACAGCACAACTTACAGGCACGCTGGTAATGTTCCACAGGAAACACCTACACTGCTAATCCTGATATTTCCATCAGGGGCGGCTAATGCCATATTGTTCTTGGTCACGCAAGGCATATTTTTAAACTCTAACCCAGCAGCCCAATGCTACACTCCCCCGGGACTCAGTCAAACAGGGTTCCCACCAAACCCTTTTCTGAACTGCAGTTTTTCAATTAACTGGGCAACTGCTGACCATCTGTACCAACCTGGAAAAGATTAACCACACCAGTCATTGGTTCTGTTAATCAGGTTTTGCAATGAGTAAATTATCTGAAGTAATTCACTGATGCAAAACACACATGCATTGTCAAGATATTATATAATATCCCTATAATAAAGATTTTAAAAACTGTTATCCTGATGCAGATATAAAATAAAAAAATAATTAAAAAAAACAAAACCCACCTTCCTCCATGCATAAAATCAGAGATGGGGGTATACACCAATTCCAAGACAGTTAAAATCGAAGCACTGCTTCTATCCACCTTAACTGGTGATTCCAGAATAACTATTCACTTAGAAATCCTCCCCAACATGAGCATGTAGAATGAACCCCTACAGCCTTAAGATCCCACAACAAATTCCTAATCCTGGATTTCACATGATTCACAACAGAAAGAGTGGCTACAGGATAACCTGAAGGTGCAGGATGAAACCCTAAAGCCTTAAGATTCCAGGACACCAGACAGCCTCTGATACCTAGGGATCACATAATCTAATACAGGATGACAGCCTACCACCTAGAGATCACATGATCCCATTCAGGGTGCTCACTGAACTGTGAGTGAATGGCCAGTAAACTGCTGCACACCCAGACGTAATGTTATACCAAAAGAGACCCCAGATACATACTTTAAACAGCATCCTTTAGTGCCTTTCCAAATTAAGATGTTCCTCTTTCCATATCACTATTTACTGTGAAGACTCTGTTAGTTGTTTTCCACATAGTCGGCAGAAGGTTTACACCATACTGTACATATTTGATTGGAATTCTAACAGCAGTCAAGCTAAATTCCCTCACTGAACTCTACTGTAAAGACTCTCATAGCCGGCTTACCTGTCTGCTCCCCAGGGTATGAAAATGAGGATTCAGCACACAGTCAGCTCAGCGTGGGACAGCAGTGATGAACTCAATACACACTCATCATCTTGCTACACAAGAAGGCTTTAGCCACTTTATAGACAGACGCCTGGAGAGACTTCTCACTGACCCTTGGGAGTCACTCCCGACCACTTTAAACTATCACACTGTTCTTTAAGCAATCCGTAAAAACAGCCTTCAATCTGGATTTAACCCAATACGAAATTTCGGAACATCTCACGTGACCTGAAGTGATCATATGATTTGTAACACGTCGCCTGCCAGGTGGGCCCTAACAGGCAAGGTCCCAGGGGTCGTGGAGAGCGTTTCTGGGCTTCACAAAGTGTGTCAGTTTTGCCAGGAGGTTGTTTCGAAAAATAATGGCAAAACCATGTTATTATTAACTACCCCTTTTTGGATCTCGGGTGCACATGGTGAAAATAAAAATTCTTAAAGCTTTTGACAGACTGAAATGTCGCACTGCATGAAGAAGCGAATCATAAATACGATCATATGTACATTGTATATATCGGAATCGAAATACGTACAGTATGGATATATCCGAGGTGAGAGGTGACGGATCATACAGGATAGGTGTGCATAGGAAGCGCAGAGTGCTGGACAGTGGATATTAGTCTACTGGAAAAAAAAAACCCGCTGACAGCCCAATCAAACGTCACGAGCACTGAAATTGGACTGAATCGCAAGGTAATTTAATAAAGCGAATTAGCTGACTCCGTCCCCTTGGAATAAATAATGTCACTGTGATACTGCAGTCCTGAATCGGCTTTCAGGAGTTGGTAGCTTTGTCTCTGCTACACGTCATGGTTGTAATACTGTACTGGGTTTATCGGCTAGGTTCTTAAAATTCGCAAACCGCTAGCTAGTGGCTTTTATCTTTAAAAAAAAGGCTCTAACGGAGGAGAAAACTAGTTTTTGGACAGGCTAATAAAATTAGTGAACAAATACAACACTATTAAATTAACAGTTATTGTATATTTGTATGATTTTGCTTCCGTTGTTTGGTTCAGTTGGCATGCGGTCTCGACGAGGTGGAAAAACAACTTATCGCCATTCTAATGAAGCATACAGAAACTATAAAAAACGTGATAAACTATGGTAGTGTAATTGACAATTTGCTCTGCAACAAATTGCATAACATCAACAAGTTCCACGGTTTAGGGTTTTTCTGCGTGGTACCGTTATGAAGTAAAAAATGCAAAAAATACAGTAATTATCATAGTGCAACACAGGTAATTCAACACAAGCCCCAAGCCATTCAGTACAGTACTAGTAAGTTTTATGCATTCCTTCGTGTATTTCTATTGTACATTTTTACCTGTCTTCCTTACTGTCACTCGCATATGCCTGTATCATCATTAATACTACAGCCTCAGCCCTCTCCCTAGCGTTACTGAATAAAAACACAGCTTTCTGGAACGGAGAGTCTGTTCTGGGAATTCCCTCGATATCTATTTATATTAATAATACAAAGAATCAGCATATAATACCGCAAGACCACACGTAGCCCACTTTGATCGAAGGTTTTGAAAATAACACAAGCCAAATTCAAATCTTATCATACATCAGATATTATTATTATTATTATTGGTGTATATATACATATTCCGCACGCCTGGTTGTAAAATAAGCAAAAACAATCTAAGCCGCGCATTACGTAAGCATACACTTTTCCACTACCTTACTTACCCCGGGAAGAAAGGAATACAAAAGAGGGGAGGCAAGAAAGAAAGGGAGCCATCAATTCCATTTAAAAAAATGTATTCAAACCATAAAGATGCTTAGAAAAATCATGTATTTTTTTTGTATATCCAGTTACAGCGTTGTAGGGATGGGCCCCGGACCTCATCCAGGACTTGGCGTGCGCCAGAGGCGGCTCTTACTGCATCCCCGTGCCTGCCCCTCTCCTCTGGTCGTGCGGGCTTGCTCAGATGTTTGAGGAGTCCGAGGGGCAGTGAGGAATCAGAGACGCCCCGAAATCGGCAGTGGTGATGTTTTCCCGTGTTCCTCGAGTGGATGGGCAGCGGCCAGTCGTCTCATGGAGAAATCTCATTTCTTATGTATTTTTTTAAAGACCTCACCTCGCATCCGCCAGGGCGCCTATTTCCGCCGCAGAAGCAACAGCACCCACTGCATACTGTAGCTCCCTGCAATCACAAACGCATTCCTTCGCCTCATCCCCAAAATGCACAGGCATAACTGTCCGTTTACTACACCTTTCTATTCTCTTTCTCCTTCAGAAAATATGTGCTGAAATATAAACGGAAAAAAATAAAGCAAAACGGGTAAAGGAGTGATAACTGGGGTACCCCCTATTTTTTACAAACCCAGTGAAATACCAACATGTTGAGTTATCATTCAGTTTTTAATTTTGTTGGATACAGAAGCACCACTTTCCCTTCATCTTGGATTTCTACAGCGCCAGGCAAAGAGCAAACCAGGAAGAAAACGCACACTGAAGAGGGGTTTGAACCATCCCGCAGGAGAGAGTGGGGAGGATTTCTGTGCATAAAACTGAGAGCGAACCGATTTCTACGGAACGTATACAAACAAAAATACAGTATTGTACACACATTCGGTCAGGTGAAAGAGAACCGTATATTAAGGTCCTCTGTTACCTTTTAACTATCACCATTTCACTCTACGAGAAGAGCATTCCTAGTTTGTCATTGTATTATACACGTCTGTTAAATTCATTATTTTTTTTAAAGAATGCGAAAAAAAAACGTTTTTACAGTCGCTGTCGTTAACGACAACCATTGTTTTTTTTTTAAAGCAGCAGGATGATTATAATACCCATTTCAGAATTTCTAATGCAGCACTTCATATCTTAACCTGCAAATTAAAACTATCGCATTGTCCACATCTCCGGATCCCACGCACAGAACACAGGCTCAACCCGATCGCAGATATTCTCCGATTTGCACTCTCCGATTTAAACCCTTGTTCAGCATTTCATCCTTTGCGTTGTTTGGAATTACAATTCCAATATTACAATTTTAATGACGGATGAAAAGCAGTGTAACTAGGAATTGAGGTACAGTATGTGAATTTCTATGTTACATAATTTACCACCATAAAACCAGCTTGAAGTTCTATATACAATATAAGCTCGATTTTCATCTTTTAATACCTCAATAATGTCTCAAGGAAACCACCTAGAGATGTCAAACTTCTTGTATTTTGTTGTGTGTGATTTGGGATTTTTTTTACATCCTTCACTTGAGCATTTATATGCCTATTTATTTTTGATACACACTTTTTCAAATATTAATAACTTTGAGAGGAAAACATGCAGAACTTTCAAACCACTGATGTTTATTTTTTCAGGAATTGTATTTACACTGCATTATTTAGAAACCTTCGTTTTTAGGTGCAATATACATGAGTTCATAACGCGAGAATATGCGAAGTACCTGCATATGACCATATAAAGCAGAATACCAAAATTCAAAATAGGTTACAATAATGCATCTTGTGTGTGTGTGTTGGATTCGATTTTCTTTAATTAGTTTTCATTTTCTGTTTTCATTTCAAAGGGCCTTTAGTATTGCAGTTACTGTACATATGCTATAAGTTTGAAAGAAGGAAAGATGTGCTGTACTTGGTAGCTTTTTTTAAGAGCACCGATGAAGTTCAACCCAAGTGTTTTACAGAGTCCACGGAAAGTATGAAATACTTTCTGTGGACTTTACGGATTTTTTTAATATGACTTTAGTCTACATGCAATATTCTGGGTTAGGTGGAGGTTGTTCCACAGTCAATACCTTTTTACCTAGAGCCACAATGTCCAAACCAAGTGTTTATTAGGGTCCACATTACCCTTGAAATTTCATAACCTTTCTTCTAATTATGAAACTTTCCTTTCATTTGTTAATGATTTTTTTTAAAAAATATGGCACTTAAATATTTAAGTATTTAAATATTGTACTTGCAATATTCTGGGAGAGGCAGGGGATCTTTCACAGTCAATAGCTTTTCCACCACAGCACCAATGATGTTCAGACCATGTGTTTAACAGGTTCCACGGTACCCCTGAATTTTCACAACCTTTCTTTGATTTGTAAAACGTTTCTTTATAATTTTATTTCTGGCTATGTGTCCTCTTTGAGGAGTTGGTTAGGTCCCTGCCGATTGTGCTCTCCTTTGTAAACATTCCGATTGCTTTTTGAGGTGTTTGTGGTCTTTTAGGTACTGGGGTCACATGGTGGGATGCTGAGGCTTGTGCTGCAGATGTTTGGAAGCAGTACCATGAAAGCTGGGAGTACGTTTTCTAGATTGTGTGGTGTTGCATGTCTTTTCTTGGCAGCAGGGTGGAGATCTCTATTCTGATGAGAAGGACTGATGGACCGAACTGCCTGCTGTCTTTGGGTCTTTAGATTGTTGGTACCATGGAAGATGATGTGCCTTGGTGTCCATAGGGTTGATCTGGAAGGAAGCCGAGGTGCCTTTTCTTTCATTGGACACCATACCTTTGCTGTTTTGAGTCCTGGGAAATGCCTGTGTTCACTGATGTATTTCCCACTGCAGTCAATGGGAATGGCTACCTCAGAGTCACTGGTTCTGGAGTGCCTGAGGTGCACTATACTGCCAAGCAGAAGTTTGTGTGGGAATGTGTGAAAATAAGGTGGGGGTGTTGGGTGAGGCCATCTGTGGGGCTGGTGGTGTGTGTTAATCGCACTGTGTTTAGGCAAAAAAGAGACAGGTGTGCAGTGAGAGTGTTTGGGGTGTTAGAGTTTGCTGTGCAGATAACAGGGTTGTCAGTGTGTGTGGAGGTTTGTGTAATTATGTTGCATCCTGAGCCTCAGGGCTGTTCTGTTGTTTTTAGGGCTGCAGTAAGAAATATTCAGATTCCTAAGCTGTTGTTTGAGAATTTTTACTTTCCTTTCTGTGAGCTGCAGCTCGGCTCTGCAAGGCTATTGAGGACTGCAGGTTTTTGTTGTCCTGCAAACTCTATCATTTGCATCTGGATGTGGTGATTTCAGATCTTGTATTCATTTTTGAATGTGATACTTTATTTTTTTAATAAAGTGGTAGTCACCACTTTGTGAATCTCGCCAGAATCAGTTCCTGCTGCCTACCTCTGCTGATGCCTCTTTTGGTGATATTTGATTATATCTTGCATATATCTGTGTGCCAGGCTTTTTGGTGCTCAGTAACATAACATCACTTTATTAGCCCTCTATAATTTTTTGCATTAGGAGTTTGTCATTCCGCATACCCCACCTTGCTCTCCACGAGACACAGACAGGGAGAGAAGCTTGAGGTCAGAGCACAGGGTCAGCCATAATACAGCGCCCTTGGAGCAGTTTGGGATAAGGGCCTTCCTCAGAGGCCCAACGGAGTAGGATTCCTCTGCCAGCTGCAGAAGATAGCCACAGAACCACTGCTCCGCCCAGTAAAAAAAAAAGGTAGTTTTCACAGTTGTTTGCCTGGTAGCAGCCAGCAATAAGGGTCTCTGGGTTCTCTCTCATC